CCCGCTTTCCTCCTCTAAATAAAAAATGGATAACAGAGGAGACTCATCTACGACCTCCGACACTAAACTCTCCTCCTCTTGCATGTTTCCGCTGTCCATAGCGTTCCTTGACAATGTTGTTGCTAAGTGCTACTTGGTCCCAATGGAATTTCCCATTCGGAACCTGCTAGCACTGAGTTGCTGACTGGTTAGCAAGATGCTTCTGAGACACCGGCCACAATCAAAGTGCTTGTGAACCTTCATCCTAATCCTGGTTTTAAAAAATCACCATCTCATGCCTTTAGTTGTTTTCATCTTCAAGGTTTCCAACAATTATTCTACTCAATCCACCTATAAGGGTTATGCCTAATCCTGAAATATTTGAAAAACCTGTAAGGATCCAGCATTTTGTGGTTTGTAAAACATAAAATTTGTGTTTTTATGCTACCTACATCTCATTAAATGGAAATGAGAATAGACACTAATAAAAATGTGAAACTCTCATAATCTGACAGAAGATAGCAGCTAAATCAGAAAGCTGGTGGAACCATTTGTAACACTGAATATGCAGATTATTGTTATTATTACAGGGAAACTGTTCTCTCTCTTGTTTTCTGTGGTAACAGAAAGGATGGAGATGACAAAGCGCGGCCAGTCATCATCCATCGTGCCATCTTGGGCTCAGTGGAAAGGATGATTGCCATTCTGACAGAGAACTATGCAGGGAAATGGTGAGCGCTGTGCCCTTTGAAAAATGCACTTAAATCACAATCCATAAAGCCAGATGCATATGCGTGATGAATTGGATGTGTTTTCCACTTATGGTGGGTGTTTTTATGTTCCATCCTAATTATGTAGGTAGCTTTTAATTACATTTCATTGTGTCCTGCTGTTCAATGCATTGTCAGCAGCACGGTTCTCTCCCTCTTATCGTCACTACGGTGATTTCAGCTTTTAACTTTCTGTTTTGAGGGGGTCGTGTTGACTGTCGTGTTATCTTCACGCTGCATGAGGATCATCACGGCCCATCTGTCTCTCTTCAACAGGCCTCTGTGGCTCTCTCCACGGCAGGTGATGCTGGTGCCCGTCAACCCCTCCTGTGAGGACTACGCCAACAAGGTACGTGTTCAGTTTCCCAGAATAGAGCTTCCTGCTTCTCTGAAAGTTATACGATGTTTGAGAAACACGCTGTGGATTACATTGAATGGTGTTTTTCTCCCTGCCAGGTGTCCAAGCAGTTCACAGAAGCTGGTTTTATGGCAGACGCCGACCTGGACTCCAGCTGTCTCCTTAACAAGAAGATCCGAAACGCTCAGCTGGCTCAATATAATTTCATCCTGGGTAAGGAGAAGTGATGCTGAACCTTTATTTAGTGGGTGCTATCGTTATGAGGTGTAGCAAATAAAAATCGAATCAGGTTTGTTTTTCAGCTTCATGATAATAAGACAGCAGCAGTTCTCTGAAGGGATGTGATCAAGTTTTTATAGATGAAGCCTTTCTTTACTATTAGGCACACACCTCTTCACAAGTGTTTCCATGTTTCTTTTTTCCAAAACAAAATCTATACAAAGCAACATTTGGATTTACCCTCTTTAAAACCATACCTCCAAACAAATAAATTCTGCTGGGAATTAGTGAACAGCATCAAGAGGAAAATCAAGTCAAGTCAAGTCAGG